ATGGTGCAGCTGACTCTCCTGTCTCACCCACTGCTCCCCTCAGCAGTGTATTTCAATAGATCTGCCTGTCTACTCCTCACTCTGTCTTTGGTGAGTCCCCTCACTCACACACACCTCTGGCCTGTACCCCAGTTCTTGTATGCATAAGTAAATAAATCTTAGAAAAAAGAATATTAAGGAAATGATATATACAAAATTCAGCATAGTGTTTTGCCTTGGAGGCAATAGGAAAGAGAATAGGTTTATGGAGTGATATCCTGGGAACTCCATGGTAAAGGTATTGTGTTTCTTTACCTGAGGGGTAGGTAAACAGGTGCTCGGTTGATTATGACTCTTCAGGCTTTATATGTATTTTACTTAAAAAATTATGCAAGATTTAGAAAAATATTTTTTAAACAATTGAAAAAGAGAGTAGAAAGAGGAGCCACAAAATCAGTGCCAGGACATTAGACCAGAAGAAGGTGGCCAAGGTACTGGGCATATGATGAGAAATTTTCAGAGATCAGACCTGCCTTGAGAATTCTGTGCTCTGAGCATCTGGGAGAACTAGAGAAGACATTATGGCTGGTGGTTGGGGCCTTGCGTATACAACATTGCATAAGGAAGAGCAATGCTCTCTTCTTTTACAATCTGGGGAGGGGCTCCAAAGAGGGGAATGTCTCATTCTCTGAAATAACTTGAAAACCACCCAAATGTGCAACACAGCTTACGTTTGTAAGGAGGATATTTCAGGAGGAGGCAGGAAGGTGCTCCGCAAGCTTTTTATCAGCAGAATCCCTTAACGAAATAATATGTGGAATCCCGACATGTAGAAGAGAGGAAAGAGCACTACACTGGGGCTCACTCATAAGCCGAGGCCCCATATCTAAGCTCCTTTACTTATACTTTCTTGCAGAAGCAAGGCTGGCAGCCAGAGTGAGGTTGGTGCCAGAAAGTGGAGCTTCAAGTGCAGCTTCAAGTGCCCACACAGAACTAAGGGACAAATCAGAGGCACTGCCCCCTAGTTTCTCATGTGTTCTGGGGAGAATTGGAAAACTAGTGATATGGGCTGTTATTCTTCAGGATGTTTTATCTGTTTCCTGGAGGTTTACTTTACGTTCCCTGATGGAAGGCACAGCGAAGCACAGTTAGCAAGGCATAAATCACATGGGTCTACCCCCCAAGTCATAACAATCTACATACTTGCCCCTTCGGGGTTGACTGAGGCTGTGTGACATCGGGGGTGAGTCACCCTGGCTCAGCAAAGCAGAGGCCAGACAATGGCAGGGGCAGTAACATGGAGTGGGACCCTTGCAGAGGGAAATAGGACGAGAGGCATGCTGAGGTCCGGCTGACATAGGGGACTGGTCATTATATCCTTTGACTAGCTCAAAATTAGCATGGCTTTGGGAAAGCTGTCAAAAAGGTAAGGAACATTCCTTAGCAGAGAGAAGAACTGGGTTGGCCCCCTGGTCATAGTGATCACTCTGCAGCACTCTGTGCTCAAGGCACTTGGCCTTCTCCTTGAGAACTTCATTTATTTGCTCTCCAGGAGTTACTCACTCCCTGAATAAAATAGCTCTTTTCTTTATATTCTAGAAACTCAAATGACATTGAAATTGCAGTGATCTAATTTGCTCTGCCTATAAAACCAGGTTGAAGAGAGCACTGGGTCCCGCTAAGTTCTTCCCAAGTTGCTGATGTTCCAACAAGCCTGGGTGCTTTTCTTTACCACAACACAGCAGAGAGTGGCCAGCGCTGCCTCTCCAAACAGACTGGGGGCAGCTGTGGACTAGAGTCTCCAGTTGCCCTGGAAATCATGCTAAAGAGAAGGATCC